TAGCATGAAAAACATATAAAATCGAAATGAAACTAAGTTACATCAATAGATTTAAAATACTTATTTTCTTATAGACCAATAGTTCTTAATTAGTGTTCCGCGTAACACAGGTGTTCCTCAAACTTACGTCGAGTGTTCCACGAAAGAAAAGGTTTGAAAGTTTTTATTGAAATTTATTCTAGTTGCTATATTCGTAGATACAGTAGAGCGTCGATTTTCCGAAAGTCAATCATCCGAAAGAATTCCAGTCGGCAAATTTAAATTTTCGCCAGTGCTGTGGCGCTTCAATCTTTGGCTATGTCTTGGGCTACTCAAATATTTTACGTTTTTGATACTAAATTAACATCTGAAGTATAATTTTTTATTATTTTTATATTTTTCAATATATTTATTTTGTTTGTACAAAATAAAAAAATCATTTTTAACAATACAATAGTCTTTGTTAGGCTTAACATCGACGAAAATTCAACGCGAAGCGACACGCAACGGATAAAAATTTCGACATCGGATACGTTAAACTATTTTTCGTACGTAAATCAGTTATCCGGACAACCCCAGTTCCCAATTGATTCGGAAAATCGACGCTCTACTGTAATTCTACATTTCTATTTTATTCAATACATTAAAAGTTTATTAGTTTATTGCTTCATTATTTCCTGAGAATAGTAAACACGGAATTGGTTATCAATGTTTGAATATATTGATGTTAATACTCCGTGTAAGAAAAAGTATACGAATGCTTTTATTACACGAAGGCCTCAGAAAGGTTGAAAACCATTGTTATAGACCAAGAGCATCTCGCGGCAACACAATGGCAGGAGGCGCTAAGAAGTGGGAAAATTACGACACCTACCACCTGAAGTATAAATAAATAAGGTCTTACTGAAAAAGTAGTCCCTCTACAGAGCTTCGAAGGAGTCTGGAAAACTTTAGATCATCCTTAAAGACTAAGTAAATCAAGTGAACCAGAATGATCATGCAAGCCTTATCTATGCTAGTAAAAGTATGAGATCCTGGAGTAGGGAATGTTTCAATTTAAAAAGAAATGAATAAATTTTTAACATAAATTTAAAGCAATATTTTAATTAATATTTGGGAACATTTGGTGAAACGGAAAAAGAAAGATAAAAATATATCAATCTCTGCATCTCTCCTCGACATCCCCTGCCAAGCGAGTTTTTTTCACATGGCCAGCTAGTTGGGGTTTCGTGCTAACCCCAACTTGAAGGCCATCTGGAGTTTTCTCTGTTTTCTTCACGTACCTAATTCCTAAATAGGGGCCAGTTTTTAGCAGAAAGTTTTATCGGGGGTATTCTTCTCTGGCAAATTGTCCACGTGTTGAGTTACCATATCTTATCAAACCAAACCAAACTAAATTTATCTGATGAAATATTGACGTCTGGGTTACTGATGTATTTTTAAAATAGCTCAAACAAAATATTATCTAAATAAATAATCTAAAGAAGAAAATATAATGGAAATACTTAGAATATACAGTGAAGAACATGATGACAATTTCCATTTCATCTGTTATTTACTTTCTATCATTCTGTCGATCATATCTAAATATATGTTTTATCTATCTTGAAGTTTGTGTTCTTCCTGTAGACTTTGACATCCCACGCAAAACTTTACTTTGCTACTACGTGCAATTGTTTTTGTTTACATTATAGTTGCCGTTGAAAATTCCTATTGTTAGCGCAAATGGATAGTTTATTATTGAACAACCTATATACAAGATATGTATTATAAATTTATATGAAGACAATAAAAAAGAAATAAAAACAACTGACATCGTGTATACGAAATGCTTACACTTATAATAGGATGATAACAGAACAATAATTAATAGTTCTGATTTTATCGTACAAATCGATTACCACAAACTGACAGACATGATTTTAGGTGTGTTTGGTGGCGCGAGAAATGAAGATGAAAGTTATTATTGTATGTGCACTTATCGTTAGTATTGTCCAAATAAGAACTGAGCAATACTTACGATGGGAATGATTCCGCAGTGAATTTGACATTGCCAGTTCAGTTCATTTTTAAATTGTTTGTGGTAGTCATACACTGCCACAAACAACACAAATCGAGTTTGTAAAAAGTTTTATATTTGTTTTTCTTTAATTTTTACTTTTTTCCTCCGTTTCTGATGACTGATGCTTAGGATCCGAGTGCTCTATATCTCCTGCATCTTCGTGGCTGGGTGTACTTCGTATACAGGATTGTTAAAATAATTTTTAAAGTTGACCTGTAAAGAGAGTTTAGAGCATTTAACTAGTGATCGTCGGACTCTAAAAGATCTTATCAATAGTACGCATCATGTACACTGCATCCAAAAACCTTTTCCTCATGTTCTCCTCATCATTCATCGATGTGAGAAATACTATCGTACCCACGTGTCCCCCAAAAGAAGTTCAAGCTAATGAGTTCTAGAGCTCTGTGGGAAAGATATTTTCCAGGAACTCACGAACATCGTGAATGAAATGTGCTGGGCACTGATCATGTTGACAGGAAATACGATGTCTCATTTCCGAAGAAATCTTCCTTCAGTAAAGTCAGAAGATTTCCTGGAAAAATTGGAGGTGGGGTTTTGCCATTTATGACGTGCTGGCTGGAAAATGGAACCAAACATTGTATCCTAGACAATGTTGACTCAGTCATTTATGGAGATGCATTCCTGGTAGTTATACACTGTCGTTGCCCACGAATCCATGCACAGCCCATATATACAAGTTGTTATGATGTTGAAAAACCCTTCCATTGTAAATTTTACTTCTCAAAGAACAAATTAATATGGTGAAAAATTGGGATGACGATGATTTATTAGAAGACCAATAAAGGAATATACAGTGAAAACTGCTTAGGCGACCACCTGCATTCGACGGGCACCTGTCAAAACGGGCAAAAATTTCTGGCACGGAATAGTTTATCCATAGAGTCTTCGTATAAGTTACCTGTATTAAACGACCACCTGTGTAACGCGACCGCGGGCATCGATTTTTGGTCCGAAACAACATACAACACCTGTAATAAGCGACCACTTTCACGAATGTATCTGGTCTAAACTATTGTAAGAACCCATCTCAACAGCGTTTCCACCTCCTAATATAATGAATTAGTCTAAACTCTCGTTCGAACCCATCTAGGGCACTTCTCCCACCCTTGAAATTAGGTGCAGGTGTTAATAAATTAGTCTAGCAACAAAGGAAATTCATTTCAGTTTGTTGGAAAATGCCCGAAATGCAAAGTGCTGTCATTTGAAGATCGTATTAAAGTTATCACAACAGCAATTAGCGGCGAAGTTTAACTGTGGGAAAACAAAATTGATTTTACCGTAGACCTACAGTATTTTCTTTGGGAGTGTAAAATATTGTACACGATACAATTAATTAATCGGCTGATCTCATCGTTTGATAAAATCTATTTTTATTTATTTATTTCGAAGCTCATATACAGTACGTGTGCGATAAATAGTTTCTGTATCAACCTACCTTATTTCCACGATATTTTTAGAAAAATAATATCCAAGTAATTTTCGCAGGCAAAATATTCAAAAAACAATAAACGCATTAATGCAAAAATCAGTTTTACTTCCTTTTTCGATTCCGCGATTGTAATGAAATCGTATAATGAGAAAAAATAATAAAATCGTTTTATTATTAATTAATAATTTTTCTTATTGTACTTAATTAATTAAGAAAATATTAAATATTAAAAAAAACCAGTATTTTTAAAGTTAAAATAAGATTAAACTAACGAAAACCAAAAGCAAAGTGATGGAGAGATAGGACGCGCTTGTATATTGATGACGTAATACACGTAACTGAGGAGCGAACGAAAAGAACCGAGTCGAATTAATTAAGTCGGAAAAAAGAAAGTGTGCATTATAATCGAGAAAATGCGAGTATTGTATTAATCTTTAAAATATTGGTGTTAAATCTGTCTTATAATATCATGACGACTCCTGTAAATCGGGTTATCCGATAAGAATAAAATACAATACCAATATAGCCCTATCGTTGAAAAAATTCGCTTATTTTTGCTCGCCTCGAGTTTTGCTTAGTAGAAATGGCTAAAAAGTGTCCAAAATACGTACGGAAATACGGTATTACAGGACCACCTGTATTGGACGACCACCTGTCTAAAAGACCACTTTTTGAAGGAACCGTGAATGGTCGCCATAGACAGGTTTTACTGTAGTTTATTTTGGGAAGTCATAAAATTGCAGAATCTGCACACTCTGGCATGGAAAGCGTAGCACCAATTGTTGGTCTAAGTGCAATCTAACATATTTATAAATAAATAAAATAGTTATTTAACATCTTGTGAGTTTGAATTTCTCGTAATTCGAAAAATAATAGAGTACAGATTAGAAGCAATTTGTGACTCGCGACCCAGTTGTAAATTTTTCGATTGTTTTCATATAAATTTACTTGTAAGTGGACAATTCAAAATAGGTATGAGCAGTGAATCAATTAAGAAACTAAACGTACAAGAAATTTTAAAAATTTACTGTTTAATTACTTTACTTTAATCTTGTTTCTTTATTTGAAAACAGAGATTACGTTTATGTATTTTGTGTGTAAAGTATGTCTATATGTTAAATTATATATTGGAAAGTTCCATCGTTAAGATGTTCCATTTTTTGAAAAACGTTCGAATTCAGTGTTTTATATCTGATGATCTATTGAATTAGGTTGAAAAAGTTTGTGTTTGTGTAATTAAACATGTTTCAGGAAGCAAAAAATGATTAAAAAACTAAAATTTATTATTTATTTCTTACTGCTGTGTGCTAATTTGAAAACACATCGTAGTTTAGTGCTTTAATTTTGATTTGTTACTTCTTATACTCACATAAATCAATATTAAGATGTAGGTTACTAAAAAATAGAACATAAAAGTAAATAAGAAAAATAGAGCGATATGAAGTTAAAGGGCTATCTAGTAGACGATGCCATCACGCTATTGCATAGGTTATAACTATGAAAATGTAATAAACATTTTGAAGAATTATATTTATTTCGTAACAAATTATGACGCTACAGTTTCTTATGTTTGTGGTTTATTCACATTTGTACAACTTTTTAATTCTGTAAACATCGCTGGGGGATAAACCAATCTTCATCTGTGGATTTCTCAACTTCACTCCAGATTTAGCTTCCATGGTCTTCGACTTACCATCCTTAGACCCAAGATAATTTCCATAAATCATGATAGAGTAGGGATCAAAATCGTTATAAATAGTAGTTGCACTCGGATGAAGAAGTGTAAAATCACGAAGATATCCTAACAATACAGAAACTTGTATATTTTTTATAAACTAAATGAAAATATGGGATAAAGATAACTTACCTTTATCTATGTTATCCCAATAGATAATGAGATGATCGTCTCTATCAGGTCGATTATGTTCGTGATAGAAGCCAAGCGCGTGAAGAATTTCATGCAAAATAACACCTACGTATTCACATCCCTTTCCGAGATTTATGTGTTGTTCACCTTCAGCTCGACCAACATAAGAAGAACATCTAAATTGAGTTTAACGATATTATAATATAAATAAAGTGTTGTATTAATCACAAGAGCAAAATTTACCCATTTCCTTTTGTAAATAAGATATAATCTGGTTCATGTTGTCTTTCTTTGAAAGTGATGCATCCTCCTGTTGCCTTATTTATGTGTTTCATTGCTATTGTAATTAAATGCCGTATATTATCTGTTATAAAATATTTAATTGAATTAATAAGATAATTTTATTGATATTAAGTTAGAAAAAGTTTAAGTTAAAGAACCTAATGATCGGCCTATGGTATAAGGTACTATCCCATCCTTCCAGCGAAGTGATGGATCCGATACGGCATTTCTGATCTAAATTTTAATTTAAAACAAAATTAATTGAATTTAAATTAATTTTAATTAAGCATTCGAAAGAAATAAACTTACATCATTGTCTTCAATTCCGATAATGTCTCCTTGGAAGAGATTAGGATTTTGTAAAGCTTTGGATGGAAGGTCGACTAGAAATGGTAAAATATCACAACTGTAAAATATTTTATTGAAATTTAGAAAGCAAAGAGAGAAATATTTTACCGTGTCTTGCGAAAGTCACTGTAAATAAAGTAAATAAGAGCAACATTTCTAATGGAGTTATCAGTAATGGTGCATGCTGCACACTCGATGCTTCTCTAAGTGCAGTGAATGTCTCTATATATACGGTTGTTTTCTGTAATCTAATCATAAATCATTATAGATAATTATATAGAAAATAAGTTTTATAATCATTTAAGATATTTACATTCATCTTAATCTGTTTAAAATATCTTATAGTTCAATAAATAAGAATAAAATGTCAATATACAGAACAGTAAATATTAACCTATTGATATTTATTTATGTTTATTTTCCTGGCAGTTATATATAACAGAAGTGAAGTATGGCAATCGGTCAAAAAGAACCCATAAGATTTGTATATCATTTGCTTAGAAGCCTTTTAAACCTTAAGAAATGAAAAATAAATTAGTGTTTTTTCTTGTACAGTATGTATGGATGCTTGTGTGGGGGACACGAGTTTTTTTGCTCACTTTTAAGTGAATAACTCTTTTGTGTTTTTTGTAGAAAATTTCTGTAGAAAATTTTTTGTAGAAAATTTTTGTAGAAAACTGTGTCTTTTGTAGAAAATTTCTGGAATTTTATACAAAGACGTTTTTTTCTGTTTGGAGATTGATGCCTTTTAATTTTAGTGATGAAATGTCGAGGAGATAGGGCGATAGAGAAGATCATACATCTTATCTCGTGTAGAGTTATACTTAATATACGCTAATAACATGTAAAAATCTTCTTTTACGGGTTATTAGCATATACAATTATTTATGTAACTCATGGCCCTCAGGAAAGTTATGTAACTCGTTGGTATATTTTTTAAGTTTACAATTATTTATTATATTAATGCTTCTTGTTTTAATTAATGCTGCGCACAGAAGATATCAGAGTCTTATCACATTGTTATTGAAGACATCGAAAATGACACTTCTCTTATTAGAATGTAATTATATTTCTGGTATGCATTGGATTCCATTAGAATACACCTTTCAGCCATACATAAATACATAACTATCTACAATTAATGTAAAGTTATAAAATTATAAAAACTGTTATCAATAGGTAGATCTGAGATTCCATTAGAAATTTTTCAACTGCTTTGCGCCCAACTATTTTAGTGCTTCCTGTTTCAATTCTTCCTGTTTCTCCCACGTGGGTGTAATTGCATGTAATTAGATTTACAACATTGTAATAAAGATTCTTTCTTTATTATAATATTCAATTTATTTAATAAATTTACCTAACGTTAGACAGTGATTGCCGAGTGGATAAAAGTTCCTTAAACATTGGTAGTACGTCTACATGCGCTTCTAAAATGGGGCCATATTCCGTGGAAGTCCTCTCTGTGGCGAATTGTCCATGTGTTGCCTTCCCGTATCTTATCAATCCAAAATCAAATAAATTTATCAGACATCATATTGATGTATTTTTAAAATAGTTTAAACAAAATACTCCAATTTCTAGCTACGTGGTCATGTGAAGGCACTTGTTTACTCTGTGAAGATATGGAATTTGTTCATCTGCAACGATTTGGTTGAAGGCCAGCACATGTATCAAAGAAGTATTGATGCACGTGCTGGCATTCAACCGAATGTTCTGGTGAAAATTCGTCAGGGATGAGATAAAAGGATACCAGATTTGGATAGCACATTTTGTAGACCTTATAGTTAGATTTATTATTTCACATAAAATTATTGTGTTAACATGAAAACGAATAAAAATACATTAAAACAAAGCACACTATTGTTTTTCTCGAAATTTCTTCTACCTGGTTTGATATGTCGAGTGTCTATCTTCCCATTTTAAAATCTAAAGTTTAATATCTAATATATTAAATTTCAGTTTGTGAATAAAATAGAGAAAGTGTTTAGAAGTTAATATATAATAAACCAATATTAATTTGTTTGTTTGTCAAAAAATCGCACAACCCCTCCCCCCATATACACACAAATAAATAACACTTGTTCTAAATTTAAATAGAACCTCTGGAACTAATTTAGATTTGAAATGATTCAAATTATTTAATTCTATTTCCTTTTCAAATTTAGGGGTGATTGAAAGTTTTACTACAGTTAAAATTTCGATTGTTGTTATTAAAGTTTCTTTATATATTATTATTAAATAACTGACGCTCTCTGTTACCATTCAGAATTATTAATAAAACGCATCGAAAAATGGCGCCAGATACGTTCAGTAGGCTGAAAAATAATTTCGTAGAGTACTAGGCTGACACCTAAACTGTCTCGACTATAGGCCGTTTGTATCTCAGAGTAAACACGTATGTTCACGTGTTTACTCTGATTTTACAAATACGTGTGCCGGGCTGTAAACGGCTCACGTATTTGTAAAATTTAAGTGACTCGTACAACATGGAATTCATATAACACGGAATTATCTACAGTGTTATAGGGGGTCTACTATTATATTTAATAAGTTCTCGCTATTTCTTGAGGATTTGATACAACATTATAAGATTGTGAACCTTAAACTTTTGACTTCCACGTTAATTTACACATTGTTACAATTGTTAATTAATTAATTTCTTCAATGGAAACGATATGTACAGAATGTAATATGTATAGTTTTCGTCTACCATGTGATAAGATTGACCTTCTTACTATAGTACATTTAAATCGTAAATTATTGCCGTGTCTGAATTCTTTTAGTGCTGTATACATATATACGTTCCAAATATGTGCCTTTTTCTCTTCGTTTCTATTTGTATTTCTCTTTCTAGTCGTTAATGAGTAATATCTTCTTCATGTTTTCTTACATATGTACTTACGATACTTTTTCTGATATTCAAATTCGATGCAATTTCGAATGCGTTAATACCATTTTCTCACATAACGAGTTTCTTTTACTTTCTGCTACAATTAAAGAAGATGCACTGTCAGAAAATATGGGGTAATTGATTCCCAAAATTGTATACAGAAGTGGACTATATGTCACAGTTTCATCATTAAATAAAGCGCCCACTATTGTCATATATAACAATTGAATTCGTTTTCTATTTCGCAAGCGACTATTACACAGAAAAAACAAATAGGATTACTTTCTGCATATGCTTACCTCCACTTCGTAAAATACTACACTAGTTTAGAAGTGCTTTTATTTTTTAAAAATAACTTCAAAGACTTACAGAAAAGTACAGCGTTTGAAAAATTTTCAAGTCTTGAGTTATTTCCACAACCAGTGTCTGTTTGCAGTACACGCCATTAACGCTCAACAATAGACGTTAGCTGAACTCTCTTCTTATGACAAAATACGTGTCTTATTCTCAAATATATGTCTTATTTTCAAAAAGTATGCTTTGTTTAAAAGAAAAACACTTTTGGAAAGGGGAACTTAATATATTCACAATTAGTTTGTTATTTAGAAAATGTTATCCAACATCTTTTAAAGTGTGGACTGACTATTACTTGCAAAGTCTGTCTGACTCTCTATAATTTGTAAATTAAATAGTGGCAAGGAATGCAAATAAAAAATAACATACACAAAATAAAATAATTTTTTGAAATCATGTTCATTTATTTATTCAATACAGTAAAATAAATTGTTTAGTAAGCAAAATGAAAGATAAGATCGATTGAAATCGATATAACGTCACTTGGAATATGAGTGACAAAAATATGTCTTTTCGGGAAGAGAATATTTAATATAAAATTAACGCAAAGTTAAAAACATTCAAATAAAGAAGCAATCCATTAACGGCGCCATTGTAGAAAAGAAAACACGACACACAACCAATTGCAGATCGTTTAGTTTTCATTAATTTCCAGTTGAGGAAAAGAATCTTTTCATTTTCTCAACACGTTTTTAAGTCTTCAAATCATAAATGAATTTTTACTCGTTATGAAAAATAATTCGTGGTTTCGTTTTATGCTTTGTAATAAGGAACGAAGTCATTAGTTCGATTTCTTTTTCGTCTAAATCTTCGACTATTGGTTGAACTTTTATTAATGACTAACGTGTGCCATTCTGTAATTGAAATGACACAAACTCGTATTCTCTGACTCTGATGACATTTTCTCTTCGGTTTTTATTTCTATGCAATCGATTTTCTGATTGAACGTGCAGACAAATCAGGTTTCTGGCGAAAATCCATTCTACACAGTTGGATAAATATTGCACAAACAATTAAAGTAGAGGTGATTAGAAAGTAATATACAATCATATTAGTTTGGTTTGATGACGTAGTCTCGTCGGTATCTATTCCAATGTTGGGTGCAGTTGATACGAACTTGTCTATGCTTTCATTCTCGATGAGATCTTGTATTTCTTGGAATTTTTTACCTCTCATCGTTTGCAATACGAGTCTCAACCAATCTGTTTGTGTCTCTAATGTCCCCGCTGTTGTCGTTATTTTTGTCGTGGAAAATTCATTTTCGGATGACACGTTGATATCATATTCGGTCGTTGGACGTGATAAGAGTCGATACAGATACGTTAAATAATTGCGATCTTTGGCAAACTTTCGAAATTCTTGTGGATCCCGTTTCATACGAAACATACGGACATAATTGTTGTCTTCTGTTTTGTGTTCTACTGGATCCAATTGTCTTGACGAAACTGGCGAAGCCCTTAAAAAAACTTGCCGAGAGGATATAATAAATATTAAAATATAAATGCAAAACATTGCAGACGAAATCTTTCTTGGAAAAGAATACATTTTAACAAACGAATTTTGTCCGGATCGACGTTAAATCGCGTGTTAATCGCGTGCGAATTCTAACCCCAAAATCGATATTTTACACGCTTTAATGCGGTTGTTTTCCCGTTAATAATGATCAAAATATCGTTTTTTAAAATCTCCGACAATCTTTAATAGGACTATAAAATAGCATTGGGCACGAACGTATTAATTATTTATACAGATATATATCGTTTCCATTAGAATTATTGAAAGAAAATGTTGTAGGCGATAAATTATTTACAATTTATATTTATATATATATTATATAATTTTGTAAAAATTTCTTTCCGTTATAACCGCGTAACTGTTTAGATTGCCCTTTTACAAACACGTGATCTTGAATATTGTAAAGTGTTACGTAAAATGACGTAAAGATATATTTAATTTTATGTATTGTTTTACACGATACTTTTACACGTAAACCGAAAATAAAATATTACACAAAGTGAATTTGGGCATAATTCATAAAACTCCTGTTTTTTTATTCCGGGGTCGATAACGATCGTAGATAAAAGCAGTGGAAATTCATAGAAATTGCGAAATTTCAGCTGGAACCCGCGACCCGGCATACAAAGAATGTGATCGATAATTCTTTGACACGATACGATTTAAATCGAATTAATATTTAATTTACACGCGATCGTATTTATTCGTGTTTATAAAAATTCATTTTTTGAAGGAAATATATCTTAAAAACGTGTGTTTAACCGAATTTTAACGTAAATTATATATAATTTAAATAAATGTGGTATTGTACAATTGTACGTTGGATTGCCAAAAGTAATTCGGTGGCGATCGAAGTTTTATGCTACGCGATACACGGGGGCGATGCTCTTACTTCTGTATATTACTATTGATACTACAGTTACTCCCTCCCGGGAAATACGCGTGTAGAAGTACGACAGTAAACGTGGATACCTTTGAGTCGTATTCAATAAATATCAGCTTTATATATAAATAAGTTCAATTTCGATCGAAATGTTCAGAAAATTGACACCACGAATTGCAAACAGAAGACCGAGAAGACTAAGAAAAATATGGAGTGACCAGACGAGGAGATTAATTAAGAATATGTGATATAGAAGAGTGCTCAATAGAGAAGAACAAAAGGAAATTGGAGAGGCCTTTGTCCCGCTGCGAAGGCCTCTTCAATGCCAATGAATCGATGAAAAAATTTTTCTATTTTCCATATAGGCTACTCTTCTCAAGTAGTAATTCTGTTCATTCTTCTAAATAAAGCTGGAATATTATCTTCAATTAAGAGATGATAAACTAATTAATATTAATTCAACTTAGTTTTATCCCTGTATTTTTGTAGAGTGATTTAAAATGTNCATCATGACGACCGCAGAAAACCATTTAGGAGGGGGTTAAACTTGAAGAGAAATAATTACACCCAGACAAGTATACGTATTATTTCTGTCACGTCACTTAATTCTACTGTTAAATACCAGAACCTTCTGTTAAAACAGTTTTTCCTTATTGGATTTCTACGATACACTCGTTTTAAAAGTATGACATTAATTATTGGACTATGAGCACTTGGGAAAGTTTATAACATATACAAATTAACATACAATAAGAACGTTAAATATAGCTTCGTTAAGATTTTCAAATAAATGTGAAACAGGGCAACAGCCCGTATAATAAACCTATAATATACGAGTAAATTTATTGTGTGTCACAATACCTATTAAAATCAACAGAATTGCGACAAAATTTTCGTCACAATGCTGTTAATTTTAGTAGTGTCTTTCCCCACTTACTTTTTAAATGACAATTCATAACTAGTTAGCTTTTTATTTATTTTATTTCTAAAGCATTTACTTATCTTAATTCAATTTTGTCTATGCATACATTTCTTATCTAAGTCTGAAAACGAAGATATAAATCACTTGAGAAACTAAACTTCTGCTCACATAATATACAAATAAGCTTAATAGAAATAAATAAATGCTGAATATTTAATAATTATATTCTTAGACTTAAAACACGTACTTTCACTTAATTTCAAAGTGCTGTTTTATTTATTAAATAAGAAATTTATCAATAAATACGCCTTAAACAATTAAAGAAGCAAGATTCCAACAAATCGGTACTACTGTATCGTTATTTTCGTTGTTTTCTCGTAATAATTTTTAATAATTTTTAATTGGGCTGCAATTTGAAAACATTGTAGACCTATAAATATCCACCGTCGTCTGTCCGTCTGTCTTTTCTTAATATCGAGATACATGAAAGATCCCGGAGATTTGGAAACAATAGGAGAGGAAGGTCCCAACTAACTATATAAAAGCTACCGATTTAACAGGAATTCACGTTATTTCAATTCAAAACCTTTTCTCTGGAAGGTGTTAGGTAGATGACAGGCACGACTCTATTGTTAAAGGGAAAGTTTGATGTACAGGGGCAAGCCACTACTCATTTAGGATGAAGGGCATGATTGTGTCAATCTCACAATAAATAATTGATCGTTACAGTTTAATTTTTTTCTAACTTAATATAACTTACATTCCTAAAATGTAAAATTTGTTATATTTAAATAAATGTAGAATTTATTTCAATATCACAAAAATATTTCGATATTTCTCTTAAGTTATATAGGCATATTTACTGTTTTACTACGTTGATAATTTATGATAATTTATTAAATAATAATATATTTTATATAGATAAAAGATTAAAAAATTATTAAAATTGTTTTAAAAACAATTATCTTAAAACACCTTTTGATTAGATTATAGAAAGAAATTGTATAAATAGCGATGTTCAATTCACTTAGAAAAGAGTTAACTGTGAAGCTCTATTGATAATTCATTAAAAATGTTGTTCTTATTTGCATTGTTCACGGTGACTTTTGCCAGACACGGTAACAATTTTCTCCTTTTTTCTTGCGGATTTAAAATTTATATTAAAGATTTTACATTCTAACAATTGCGATACTTTTAACAATTTCTAGTCGATCTCCCGTACATTGCTTTACATAATCCTGATCTCTTCCAAGGAGACATTATTGGAATTGAAGATAATGATGTAAGTTTGTTTATTTTAAACGTTTCGGATGTAATTAAATTAATGTAAATTGAAAATTTAGGTCAGAAATGCCATACCGATTGCTTCACGTCGCTGGCCGGGTGGAAAAGTGGCCTTTGTCCTCGATTCAACTATGGGTTAGCTTAAAGTTTTTCTTTTCTTTTTTTAAATTTAATATCAATAAAATAATTTAATTAATTGAGTTAAACAATTTTTATAACAGGAGATAAGAAATCTTTAATTAGCCAAGCAATGAACCACATAAATCAACAAACAGGCGGATGTATTTCTTTCAATGAAAGACAATTTGAAACAGATTTCATTAGATTCATCAATGCAGATGGGTATATATATATATTTACCTTGTGATTAATATAATACATTTTACTTATTTTGTAATAATATTATATTTAATTTAGTTGTTATTCTAATATTGGTCGAGTTGGAGGATCACAACCTCTATCCCTGGGAAAAGGGTGCGAATATGTAGGCACTATTGTACATGAAATTTTGCACGCACTCGGATTCTATCACGAACAGAATCGATCTGATAGAGACGATCACCTTACTATTTATTGGCAGAACATTAAAAAAGGTAAACACGATTTAATACTTTTATTCTGTTTGTTAAAGATTATACAAATTTCGATACTATTAGGAATGGAAGATCAATTTGCACTTCTTCAACCAAGTCAAAATACTATTTATGACAAATTTAATACCGAATCTATCATGATTTATGGAAATTATGCATTTTCCAAGGACGGTGTGTCGAAAACTATGGTAGCTAAATCAGGAGCAAGGCTGCGAGAACCATATGAGAAGAGTGGTTTAACTAATAGCGATGTTTATAGAATTAAGAAGTTGTATGGATGTGCTTAGACCACAAATCTATCAAATTGTAACTTTATTATCTGTCATGAAATAAATATAAATGTTCAGAATGTTCATTCGATTTTTTAAAAATAAATAATAAATTTAACTGTGTTTGCTTACTTTTTAATTATTAAATTAATTAAAATAAAATGCTTGACAATTGCTAGAGTTGGTGTATCTGGTTATGACACGCATGTGATCTGATGAGGGGACCTCTCGAGAGGACTTCTGTTGTAAACTGGTCCCTATATAGTTGATACAAATGTCAAGGAAATCCGGAAACCTCCTGTCGGAGAGGCTCGAATTTACGACAAGACAATTGCTAGGGAACAGCAATATTTGTTTGAAACCTCATAAAGACGAGAATTTCACTTACTCAGAACGATTGCCGATGAAATCTTTTATGCAAACTGTAGGTATATTGCACAGGGGTGTTGTTTTCGGGTCAATTCTAACGATTGTGTTGCAGGCGGTATTTCTTTCGCTGTTTCCTAGCAATTATCAAACAATGTATAATATACATTAAAAGTAATTATGTATAAAATGCTATTAAAAATTCAACATTTTTAGAAGCATTTAATCATCACGTATCCACCACTATGTATAATATAAACTGATAATTTCTATTCATGTCAAACAAATTAGTGTTATGTTGCTGGGAAAAGGCACAGGGGATACTTATCATGAGAATAAAGGAGGATATTACGTTGACTAAAAAACAAATACGTTTATTAATTAAGATACCATTACTACAATTATAACTACAATTATCACAAATTTGACCTGTCTCCCTTTATTTTATTTATCTTCTGGTAATGAAGTTTTTTGTTGTTTTCCGAGGGTTACACAGTTTTATTATTAGTATGATCCTTGTAATTTGTACCTTTGATGTTTTAAAAAGCAAAGTATCAAAAAGATTCCTTTATGCCAAATATAGAAAAAAATTTCCTACAGTTTTTCCAGCTAAAGTACATCGTAAAAAGAGATTAACGTATAAAAACTTCTGATAACCTTACAGTTGAATTTGCATTTTTATTAAATTTAAGTTACTAGGTCTTACGTTATGTTTCTTACTTATTTACTTAGTCGTTGTGTTAATATGTTACTCTTATCTAATTAGTACTTTGAAAATTTGTATTTTCAATATAAGTTTAAACTTAAAATTTATAACAATCTTCATTCGAATGTAATTCTATTTTGTAATTATAAAAACATTGTGTTCCAAGCCTGATGACAGCCTGTAAAATAGGTTGAGAACGTTTCTGTGTATTAAATAAATAATTTCTCAGCAAAACAGCAAGTATTGTATATTTCAAACAAGCACTAAAGTGAAGACAAACAATACCAAAGTGCAACAAAACAGCTATTAATATTAATTTGCTCTTAGTCACCGTCATCTAGGAACACTCAGAGGAACTGGAATCGAAATTAAGAAAAAGACACCATTGTCAGAAACTCTTTAATTATAACATATCAATTACATATTATGAACATATAATAGAACATAGTAAAAACAATACATAACTTTTAATTTGCAAACAAAAGAATTTATTGTTCAACTTATCGACATTGAAATAAATACCCTTTATTCAATTTATTTTCTATTTTAAAGTGCAATACACATTTTTATAAAATTCTAGAGTTATTAAAAACGCGTTATGTGTTATGTGCCTCATTATAGTGTTATATAAAAGTAGCAGATAAGCCCGGCGTGGCTTGGCCAAAAAGTAAGGATTGCGAAGATTAAGATTATTACCTTACAGCCAATCTTGCCCGTTTTCACAGAATGCAAAAATTAGGTTCCTCTGTTTCCAGACTAATTAAAACATTTTTAGATGGGTCTAAAAATATGTTCGATTTCTCGCAAAAACGCAAGAAACAGCATCTGCGACGGTGAATCTTGCACGTTGTTTTCTCTTAACACTTCCATTGTTGAAGCCTTAATCCTGTCTCTTTCATTCCGGAGGGGAATTTCGAAAAATCTGTTCTTAGTGTACGTTCTCGTGATGTACCCTAACTGGGTAAAAAAATTTCAACTTTCAACTCCTAACCGTTTGGGCTCTGCGCTGATTATAATTATCAACACGTCTCGATTATATAGATAGATTTAGCAATACATTTAATTATAGATAAATCTAATTATATGACTATACAAATAAAGATATAAAAAATGTTTTAATTAATCAATAACAAAAACAATTTAACAACTGAGCTTTATCTAATGCACTAACAAATAATGAAAACCGATTATATTAAACGCACTTTCCTCACTTACGTAAAATTACAATAGAACAAAAGTATGATCAGAAAAATCAGGATAAAACTTAAATTGGTTTTTTAAATATATAACAATATACTCATTGTTCCGCTCGAAAGTACCCAATTCGATCTGGTTTAAAATTATTAACAGCTAAAGTTATAAGTTCAAAAAAGATTCCGTATGAGAGAAAATTTCACTATGTTGCGGGATAAAAATCATCACATCTGTTGGTGAGCTACGACATTCATAGTGGCAACATTAGTGCGACATCACTGCTATGTACTGTACTGCAGATGTGTTGTCTGCGATTGTACTTTCCAGATGATCCTGAAGTTTAATGTACTAATTGAATTGCAGAAACTATATTTGTTAAGGTAACCCCACAAAAAAAATCTATGGGGGTCAGATCGGTAGATCTTGGCTGCAACGTGTCGGGCATACCAGACCATAATGTTTGCTTTCTCTTGTGAAAACCCATGACGAAATAATAATGTTCACAACTGCTGCGCCATTATACAATATAAAATACCTATGTAAGACGTAATGAGATATACCATCAAATGCCATTTATTGCTTTCGTATATTTTAAAGCGCTAATTTTGATGACGAATTAAAAGTAGATACTTTCGAGCGGAACACCAGTATTCTATAATCGCTTATATTCTTTACACTACAAAAAACGAAACATAATACATTTATGATGGTTTGTATTTTATTTATACAAATGTGTTAAACAAAATTATTGTTTTAACATATTGAGAAAAAATTAATTAATGGATTTGTATGCTTCTCAATATTTTACTGTGCATGCTATAGAAAAAATTAGTGCAATTATAAAAGTATTTAAGAAAAAGCGCTTTCAATATTCAAGGTAATGTTGCAATGACGTTTCGGTGTCAAAGGCTAAGTTTACTTATAAATGGGAGTGTTAGATAATTGTGTGTGCGATCAGAATATTTCGTTCCGAATATCAAAAGTATAATGCATATTTCTCGATTAATTTAGTAAAACCGTTTGTCTGCCGCTTGAATAAACATTGTTCCTCCACAATAACACGATCATCGTTAAAATGTGGTGGCTGATTAACAAGGCGTTACAGGTACAGATACCGTTTTGCAGCATCTGAATTCATCGTACAACAGTCATCTAACGACAATTATAACAATGAATATAAGCTTTATCGATGCTTCCGAATTCACCAAGATTTCTTTATACGTGTTGGAATTCGCAACTATTCAAGGAGTCAGGAATATTTATATACTTATAATTCAAAAATTATAAAAAAAACAAAAGCAAATACGAAAAAGAATAAAAATATAAAAAATTCCATTTCAATTTCCTTTGAAACGATATGAAATTATAACGCATTTTTCATTTATAAGTAAAACTCGGATAATATGTTAAAAAAAATAAATTTTTAAAATTCAAATTATTTCCCGTTAAAAGCAAACTAAATTACAATAAAATTAGTTCAAACAAACGGAAATTTTAAATGAAAGTAAATTACTGTGTAGGTAAACATATAGCTAATAATATTAATAAAATACATATGAATACAAATTAATAATTACAAAAACAATAAATTTAAGTCTATTTAATAGAAATTCTTGAAACCAAATTATTAATAAAATAAGTTTTTCCTAACAATAACTCATTGTTTGCAATAAATATTGTGAAAAAATAATAAAAACATAACGGTTAATTTCATATCGAAAATTGCTTAAACACTTCGTCGCAAGCATTCACTCCACTTTTAATACTTATTAAGCTGGAAAAATAAGACTTCATCGACTGCAACATCTGAAAGTATCACGACAAATCATTAATTTAGTTTTGTAAATTTTAAATAACTGAATGTGGATAATTAAATTGGCAGTGATATTAGAACAATTTAATTAGATTAAAATTAAGGTATTCAGTCTTACCTTGGGTATACTTTTAGGAGATATTGTAAATATTCCACCTACAGTGATTCCAGGAGGACATTTTCCTAGTCTTTTCCTATAGGAAATAATCTGTAATTGACATACAAAATTAGTTATAAAATTATTATTTTTTGCAGACACGAAAAAATGTAATATCTTTTATGTAAAAGTGTTTATACAAAGTATGATTGATAATTACCATTAATTGATCATGGAAATTTTTCTGCTGAAAAAAAAGAAGTTCAAGTTGAATGCGAAATCGATGCATCTGGAAATAGAAATAATGTTTTTGTTGAATTTATAATAATCAAAAATCAACAACAAAATAAAAAATGGTAAAATTATAGTGAATCCGATTTTGTTTGTCAAGTGAGTTAAATCGGTATCAATAATTTTTTTCTCAACATTCAACTTTTATATAAAGTCAAGTTTTACATATATTTATTAAATTAATATGAAACAAATGCGTAATTGTACAGTATACATCCCCCACGGGTTCCTATAATTACGATTCCTATAAGACGGCGAAAAAATTGCGACGGTATCCATACAAACCTGGTAAAAACTCCTATAATTCGGTAAAATGTCATCACAGAATAAAATTTTAAATAACTTTATTCGGTGTACGATTAAAGGTTTTTTATGTTTTCGTTTAATGTTTTTTTCTAGAATTTATTCTTTTTATTTTGTATTTTCTATTTGACTTTCACTGATATTTATGCATCGAAATTTTTTTGGTGTATAAACAATATATTAGAAAATAATTCTAATATTTAATAAATGGGTCGTTTTTCGAGTCTATTGTAGTAGACAGAAGCTAGTTCATATGGACGAACTAGGCGCGTACCCCTTTACGCAATTTTGTGTACCCCCAGGGGTACGCGTACCACTAATTGG